CTTGAATGACAAATACCGATGAATTTGACATAAGTGGAATTCGCGCTTTAGTGTATTCGTTGTATCTTGCGTAGGTAAGTGTAACGGAATTAGCGTGCGATTTGTTGTTGCTAGTGGTACAATAAATACACTTGCAACAACAATCACACGATCTTCCAGTTACACTTACTCAAGATACAATGAATACACAGAAGCGCGAATTCCACTNAACAACAATCACACGATCTTCCAGTTACACTTACTCAAGATACAATGAATACACAGAAGCGCGAATTCCACGAATGTGAAAACCAACCTTAACTTCCGCCACTATCTTTTTTTTACCTCAAAATTCTACCCTCAACGTCAGCAAAGGATTTTTACTTCAAAATAAAATTAGTTAATGGATTTTTAATGCTTGTTATGCAATATTTCTTCGGAATCAATGCATTGAAATTTTCGTTTACATTAAATTTCAAAAATTAATGCATTATTTTTTTATTTACATTAAACATCTATGCATTAAAAAATTAACGCATTTTTCACTTTTGTTCCTAGGAATTTCGGAGATATAGCGAATCAAAAAGCTATGTTCTCCATAATATTCACAATTTCTACTCTACTTGTGAGTAAGTGTACTCGACGCGTTGAGTGCTACCTCATCTATATCGTTGTAAAGATCATACAGCTCATCGTTAAATCGCCTGCGGTATTCGCAATCATCAACGCGTAAAGGTCCATAAGTCATTCGCAGAATCTTTCTTTCGAAAACTCCAAGAGCCGTTTCATCGGATTATACACCAGCACAGGCATGATGGGTGACATAACGTGAGATTTTTGTACGACGAGAAAGGACTTTACTCCAGAATTGCCTACTCAGTCCAAAGTAGCACTTGAGATACTTCGTTTTGTTTTCGTTCACCACCATTTGCTTTTCTTCTCTATCTAATCCCGAGAAGCCAGAACAGATGTAGCACTTGTTTTTACCGATAATATCGATGTCGTCGGCATATGCCAGCAATTGTACGCTATTGTCTGAAACCTCGCTTGGTATTAAATGGCTCGGATAGGGTCTTCCCAATTCTGACGGAGTTGATGGTTTTGCTCAACTTCATTTTACACAGCCGTATTAGTTTCGCGGGGATAATAAATTCAGACATCGCGACATCGCATAAAGTGAAATTCATTTCGTGCTGTCGAAAGCGGCTTTGTGGCTCCCTGTCACTCAAACCATACGGCATCACCCAAGAAGCGCACAAGAGCAACAGCCTAACTCCCTTTCTTCTTTGGGGAATTTCAATGATGTTGCAACAAGAAATAGTACAATTAGAGCCAGGACGAGTTAACTCTCATTCGGCAGTTAATTACAGGTTTTCTGTACAAAAATTGATAGTTAACTGCTGAATTTGAGTTACCTCCCCCCCGCCACTGTGAAAACGGCACTTAGTCGTTCTTGTGACAGTCGGGTCTACGAAACCGGCACGACCCAGATTTATATCTGGCCAAGGACTAACATTCCAGCATGGTTACCCAAAACCTCTTTTGGAAATTGTATGCAGCTACGATAACAAGTACAATTAGTATGCATATTGGTTTGTAATTAGTAAACATTTAAGAACGTTTCCTAACAATCTTTTAAGCGTTGCTTTGACAAAATAATTTAATTTCGATAGAAATTTAACGAAGTTATCAGATTAAATAAGAATCAATAAAAAGTGCAAATGCCTCATTAAAAATTGCATATCATTGTAAGAAAAGGTTTATTTATTGTTAAAGTATGACTATGGAAGCCCGCTAATAACCCTTTGTTAAGAGTTTTGATAACAAAGGATTCGTAAAGCATTCATATTTTTATAAACGTATATGTAATTGCAGTAAATCATCCCCCTGCATTTCCAATATCTTTACTTACATATGTATTTGCTAATATGTATGAAAATACGTATCGATATAAAACTACGTACCTAATTTGCAGTTTTTTTCCTTTTGCGTTGTTCAAGAAATAATTGGTTGTGTAAACAAAATATTGCTTAATTTATGTGGCGTTGTACATACCCATGTATGTAGGTGTTTGCAATAGCTTGCAAATGGAAAAGAAAAATACGTATATTTTGTCTGGTCACAGCTCTTATCCACTAGCTTCCACTGAAACTGAGTGTTGCGAAATCTCCACACAAAAATACAAGCAGCAAAATAAAATATGTAACTACACTTTACTATGGAAATTCGTATGCCTTACTAAATTACTTTTAAATTTCCAGTTCTACGGCGAATGATTGCTTTTCAGTATCCCATTTTTCAATTTGAATTTAGCACGATTACATACAAAGAAATAAAATTAGAGGACACAGTTTCAATATGAAATAATATACGACTTGATATCTTCTTTTTGTTAAGGTTTATTTCAGTTCACAGCTGCTGTTGAAGTGCACTAAACTTTGTTGTTTTGCTATGGAAATTCTACTTGTGCCGTGCGAATAAACAATGCACAATATGGCCACCAATCAGATAGCATGCGGAAGGTTAAACATGGTTGTAGGTGACAATCAGCTGTTCAATAGAAGGGCAGTGTGCACAAAAGATGCCACTTAATTTTTTCTTCTTGTCATTTAAAAAATAGAGGAATTTCAGAGCAAGTCGAGTACCGGTTGAAGAGGAATTAAGCGCTCTTCATCAACCAAAAATACAAGATTACGCAAGAACCCGACGTTGTATTTGTAAAGCTGAAATTAGTCGAGAACGCAGAACGTATA